AGCCCGATCCCGTGAGGTTGGGGGAGGGGCAGGGCCGCCCAGCGGCTTTTGCCCCCCTCGGAGTCGGGACCCTGGCGGGAGCGGGGAAGGCTCAGGGGGGCTTCCGCCGCAGCAGCGAAGTGGCCACGACCCACAGCGCACTTCCTTGGTTGGGGGATACACTGGACTTTCAGTTGAGCGCCCGCTGAGGTCACCCTGCTAGGCGTCGGGCCGACCTGCGCGGCTTTGTTGGCGGGGGAGGGGCGGGCCGACTGGTGGCGTGAGGACGCCACGCTGACCGCTGACCGATCGCTTGCGCTGGAGCCTCACGTGCATTTTCTCTCCCCTTCAGCAGGTGAGGCTGGCCTCTCCGCACCCAGAGGCCTGAGCTCTGCCATGGGGGTAGGGGTGTCTTTATTGCTGCAGTTTTCGCTGACGTCTGGGGGCTACCGGAGCGGGAGCCGAAGCAGGCGCTGCAGCCGCGGAAGTCTCCGCAGGAGCGTCCCCAGGCGGAACTGGATCAAGCTGTATCCCCAGCCCCACAGCCTCCAGGGTAGGGTCCGGCCTTTTCTGTGGTCCCAAGCCTGCCCAGAGCTTAGGCCAGCTGGGCCTGTAGGGGAAGGATGGCTGACATGGGTCGGATCCGGTGTCTGTTCCCTGGGCTCTCCCAGGCTCTCAGGGCAGGGTCTAGGGAACTCTGGCGTGAAGGCAGTTTACCTCTGGCGGCCCCTGCAGGCAACCCCTGGCGCCACCCTCACCCCAGAATTCCTGTAAGAGGCTCTTGAGTTGGGGCTTCCTTATCGGGTGGATGGGTGGTATGTAGGACCACTCCTGTCGTGGTAGAGGCAGGACCAGGAGAGGGACAGCGCTTAATCTCCTGTTGTCTCCCCTTCTCTTGCCCCAATAATCCCCAGCATCCTAAGGGAGGCAGGGCCAGGCATGGGGCCCTCAGGGTAGCAGGTGTGGGTGGTGTCTGGATTCCAGGAGCACTTTCCTCCCTGGGATGTCTTCATTGCTTGGAGGAGGGCACGGGTGCAGTCAGGCTGTTGCCTGGCAAGAGGCTGCTAGCATTGCATTCAGAGCCTGCCCCCCACACACACACGCCGCAAAAAAGGAGCTGTTCTAACTCTGGCTTCTGGTCAGAGGTTGGGGACAATGAGGCCTGGAGAGCGTGTGCATGCGAACGAAAACACAGACACACAGCGGCAGTGGAGATCTTTACAAACAGAGTGGAGCGTTTCCTTGGAGAGAACAAACCTGGGCTGGGAGTATAGCAACTCCCCCCAAGTCTCAGTTAGGCTCTTGGTGCCCGGGTCACTGGTCCTCCTGCCTACTCTCCAGCTGCACAGCATTGCCGCCGACCAGAGCCGCCTCAGGAAGGGCTTTGCGGTAGCGTAGTGCTGTGGGTCCCAGCCTTGTTGACGCTCTGGACTTGGGTGGGTGCGGTGAGAGGTTCCAGGAAGAGCCCGTGAGGAGACGGACAAGTGTAGTTGAGGTGTCCCGTGAAGTCCAAGAATGAAGTCAGATGACCACAGTGAACCGGCTTAGTCTAGCCTAGTCCAGGGCTGTAGGAAGCAGATTTGGGGAACGCCCCTGTATGGGTTGGGGCCGACAGGCACTGGGACAGGACACATTGGTCTCGAGTGACTCTGCTTTTCTGCCCTCAGCAGAGGAAGAACAGATGCTGGAACGACGCTGCAGGGGCCCCATGGCAATGGGCCCTGTCCACTCCCGACTCCTCTCGGGGCCCTCCCAGGAGTCACCAGAGACCCTGGAGGAGGAACCCCGCGGGCTGAGGTCACCGGGCACTTCAGCGGCTGCGTTGGTTGGCCAAGCCCCAGGGAGAACCCACCGCTGTGCCCATTGTAAGCGGAACTTCCCAGGGTGGGTGGCCCTGTGGCTACATGCTCGGAGGTGTCAGGCTCGGCTGCCCATGCCCTGCCCCGAGTGTGGGCGCCGCTTCCGCCACGCCCCTTTCTTGGCACTGCACCGCCAGGTCCATGCGGCAGCCACCCCAGACCTGGGCTTTGCCTGCCACACCTGTGGGCAGGGCTTCAGAGGCTGGGTGGCTCTGGTTCTGCACCTACGAGCCCACGAAGCTGCAAAGCGGCCCGTCGCCTGCCCAGAATGCGAGAGGCGCTTCTGGCGACAAAAGCAGCTGCGCGCTCACTTGCTACGGTGCCACCCGCACCCCCCGGAGGCCCGACCCTTCATCTGCGGCAACTGCGGCCGGAGCTTTGCCCAATGGGACCAGCTGGTTGCTCACAAGCGGGTCCATGTGGCTGAGGCTCTGGAAGAGGCTGCCGCCAAAGCCCTTGGGCCTCGGCCCAGGGGCCGCCCCGCGGTGACAGCCCCCAGGCCTGGTGGAGATGCCATTGACCGCCCCTTCCAGTGTGCATGCTGTGGCAAGCGCTTCCGGCACAAGCCCAACCTGATCGCCCACCGCCGGGTGCACACGGGTGAGCGGCCGCACCAGTGCCCAGAGTGCGGAAAGCGCTTCACCAACAAGCCCTACCTGACCTCCCACCGGCGCATCCACACTGGCGAGAAGCCCTACCCGTGCACAGAGTGCGGGCGCCGCTTTCGGCACAAACCCAACCTTCTGTCGCACAGCAAGATCCACAAGCGGTCCGAGGGGTCAGCGCAGGGTGCTCCGAGCTCAGGAAGCCCCCAGTTTCTAGCTGTCTCCCTGGAGCCCATCCCAGAGGCCCCACCGAAACCTGCAGGGGATCCTGTCCCCGAGCCCCTACCTGGAGCCCCTCACGGCCCCCCGCCCGCCCCTGCCGCTGTGCCCCCAGAGCTGTACAGCTGCGAGGACTGCGGGCGCAGCTTCCGGCTACAGCGCTTCCTGCGTGCCCACCAGCGGCAGCACAGCGGCGAGCGGCCCTTCACCTGTACCGAGTGCGGCAAGAACTTCGGTAAGAAGACCCACCTGGTAGCTCACACTCGGGTCCACTCAGGCGAGCGGCCCTTTGCTTGCGAAGAGTGCGGGCGCCGCTTCTCACAGGGCAGCCACCTGGCCGCCCACCGGCGTGACCATGCCCCTGAGCGGCCCTTTGTCTGCCCAGACTGTGGCAAGGCTTTCCGCCACAAGCCCTACCTGGCTGCTCACCGGCGCATCCACACTGGTGAGAAGCCCTACGTCTGCCCTGAGTGCGGCAAGGCCTTCAGCCAGAAGTCCAACCTGGTATCCCACCGGCGCATCCACACTGGCGAGCGCCCCTACGCGTGCCCCGACTGCGACCGCAGCTTCAGCCAGAAGTCCAACCTCATCACCCACCGCAAGAGCCACATCCGGGATGGCGCTTTCTGCTGCGCTATCTGCGGCCAGACCTTTGATGAGGAGGAGAGGCTCCTGGCCCATCAGAAGAGGCATGACGTCTGAAAGGGGTGGGGCTGAGGAAGCTGGGGGCGGGGAGAGCGTCCCAGTAGCTCAGGGTGTCCTGGTCATTGCTGGTATAGAACATGGGGTGGGACCCCTGGAAGGGACCGAGGCCTGGTGCGAAGTGAGTGAGTCCTGTTAGGAAGAGAGATCACCTCCCCTTCACCGAGGAGTCCACTCTCAAGAGTGCCAGGGCCCCAGGCCTCCAGCTGCCACCCTGACTCTTCTGCCCCTGGAAAAGTAGCAATAACATCTTGACCATCCCTTAGCGCCTGCGGGCTAGAGGGGCCACCCATGGGAAGGAGGATGCACCCTCTTGGTGTTAACCGCCTTAACGACCCGTGTCTTTCATGATGAGTTACTCCAAATCCATCTGGAAGTAGGAGTGGTGTGGTTCTTAGTAAAAAACCCTCGGGGAGGAACAGTGGGCCAGCTGGATACACCTTGGAGAACCTGCTGGCCTTGTTAGACAGCTCCTGGACTGTGTCCAGCGTGTGGAGGTAACGCTGCGCTGCTCTAACCTGTCCCATCCTGTCCTCTTCCCCTGTCCCTTGTCTAGGCACCTAGACCTAGACTAATGACTGTTAGTGCCTCCCCAAAGTCCAACCCCCAGGGCTTTTCCTAGCATATTCCTCCCCTGCCTCCCACCCCCCAGCCCCACTGTCAGCATCCTTGTGTCCAGGCTTTTGTCTGAATAACCCGATTCTTTCACTCCTGCCAGACCTCAGAATTTTAGGGAAAGGACAGACCCACTGGAGTGTCGCCTGCAGGGAAGCACTGGGGAGGTGGCTCTTAGCGTTTCTGTGTTTGGTGCCCAGCCTTTGCTTAAACACATAGCTCACAGGGACTTCCCTACCTCCCAAGGCTCCAGTTCTATTTTAGGATAATTCTAATTGTTAGAAATGATTCCTTATAATGAATGAAATTTGCTTTCCCCAAATGTCTACTTATTCGGCTTTGTTCTTTCTCTGGAACTTCACAGAACAACTATTTGCCTTCCTTTTCAAACTAGAGAATAAACTTGGTTTTAGAACTGGTGCCTGAGAAGTGTTCTTGTTCGAGGGATGGGGGTGGGGTTTTTGGCCTCATAGGAGATCAGTCTGTCGAAGTTGGGGTGGTTCTCTGGCTGGTGGGGCCAAGGTCCTTGTCGACCTTTCTCCAGATGGTCAAACAGGGTTGTCGTGTTAGTCTGGGTAGATTAGAGATCCAAATCCATAGGAATGCATATGTGTATAAGAAAGGTTTATATACAAGGGTAGTTGAATATTGAGAAAACATCCCAGCCCAGTCCAGATCAAGTCCATAAGTCCGATATTAGCTCATATGGCCAATACCAATCTGTAAAGACCTCTTCAGACTCAACGAAACATGCAACGACATCAAATGCAGGAAGATTGCAGGCCAGTGGGTTGGAAGTCTGGATCCAGTGGCGCAAGCATCTCAGTGCTGGCAGGGGTCTCCATGTGGCTCCTCCAGATCCCAGGGCTGCATCAGAGTAGGGGATGTCTCTCAGGAAGTGAGCAGAGGAGTGTCTCCAGTCTTCAAGGAGGAAATACCGGTGTCCCCAGAATTCTGGGGTAGGCTGTGTCCACACAGAGGCCTCACTGACTGTGATCCAAGTGACAGACTTCACTCTTAGTCCTCTCAAGTCCCAAACTGACACCAGAATATGTAACTACCACAGTCATCTTCCTCTTCCTCACACAGCACTAGTGAGCATCGAGAGGACACTGCCAATGTGACATGGATCCTCTCACAGTAGTCCATGTTGCAGGGTTGGTAGCAAGGGGAGTGCACACGTGGTGGGCTGGTCATCTGAGCCCCTGCTTGACACTGGCCGCAGCACTGGTTGGCACTCAGCCTCTGGAGCTAATGCAGAAGGTTCAGGTACCTGTTACCGTGAGTAAAAGAGCACACGGACTGTGGAATCTTCCTTTAGAATGCCTCCATTGCTGTGTGTTCCCCAGGAGCACTCTACATGTGCTGCTTTGCACCGGCCACTCAAGTCCTGTTGTCCGACATCAGCGGGCCCTTTGCACCTTGTAGCGTCTAAGGGATGATAGAACATAAGTTAGTCTTTAAGAGCAGTACTGTGTAAATGAGCTCATCTAAATTATCTCATGCAATCTTCACCTTTGAATTGCGGAGCTAGTGAAGAATATTGAAACCGCCATGACCTGCCAAAAGAACCAACATCTGTCTTGGAAGAGGTGCTGCCAGAATGCTCCTTAGAAACAAGGCTGGAGAGATTGTCTCTCAGACTTTGAACCTGTTGTCAGGAGTGACCAGTCTCTGGAGAAGGACATCATGCTTGGTAAAGTGGAGGGGCAATTGAAAAAAATGACCCTCCACAAGATGGATTGGCACCGTGGCTGCAACAGTGGGTTCACACAACAATTGTGAGGATGGTGCAGGACTATGCAGTGTTTTGTTCTTTGGTACATAGGGTCACTATGGGTCGGAACCAACTCTGGCACCTAACAACTATCTTCACAAAAACTTGTGAAGATAAAAGAACATGACCTGACTGGAACCCAGCCCCACTCCTGAAACTGCTGTAAGCCACCACCATGGTTACTAGAGGAATGATATCATGGAAATGGAAGTGAGACCCAGTTCCTAGCCCTAAGAGGCTTAAGTCTAGAAAGGAAGCATGTGTGTAAATCGTAAGGGATGAAAGTGGGAGGCTGGCCACATGTAGAATGAAAGCAGACCGCTTCAGAAATTCCTGTTGGTTTATCAGGTTACTATGAATATCTGATATCAAGTCAATGCCAACTCATGGTGACCCTCTGCACAACAGAACCAAACAGAACCAGTCTGGGCCATTCTCCCACTGTCAGCATGTTGGAGACCATGATTTGGCATCACCAAGGATCTTTATTTTGTTTAAAATCATTTTAGTAGGGGCGCATACAACTCTTATCACAATCCATACATACAGCAATTATGTAAAGCACATGTGTACATTTATTGCTCTCATCCTAAAAACATTTGCTCTCCACTTAAGCCCCTGGCATCAGCTCCTCATTTTCCCCCCTCCCCCCTCCCTCATGAGCCTTTGATAATTTATAAATTATTTTGTCATATCTTGCCCTGTCCGACATCGCTCTTCATCCACTTAACTGTTGTACGTCCCCCAGGGAGGAGGTTATATGTAGATCCTTGTAATCGGTTCCTGCTTTCCACTCCACCCTGCACCCTCCCAGTATCGCCACTCTGACCACTGGTCCTGAAGGGATCATCCGCCCTGGATTCCCTGTGTTTCCAGTTCCTATCTGTACCATCGTACATCCTCTAGTCTAGCCAGATTTGTAAGGTAGAATTGGGATCATGATAGTGGGGGGGAAGGAGGCGGAGTAGGAAGCATTTAGGAACTAGAGGAAAGTTGTATGCTTCATTGTTGCTACACTGCACCCTGACTGGCTCATCTCCTCCCTGCGACCCCTCCGTGAGGGTGAGGGGGTGTACAGTTGCCTACAGATTGTCTCTACTCCACACTCCCCCTCATACACAATTATATGATTTTTTTCGTTCTGATGATGCCTGACCCCTTCGACACCTCGTGGTCGCACAGGCTGGCGTGCTTCTTCCATGTGGGCTTTGTTGCTTCTGAGCTAGATGGCCGCTTGTTTACC